TTATGCTCTAATAAATTTGTTAGTCTCTAAGGTGCCACAAGTACTCCTGTTCTTCTTTTTTTAGAGCTGGGAATAAAACCCAGGTATCCTGACTTCCCCCACCCCCCCCCACTCCACCGCACTGCCTGCCCTGAGGCCGGCCAGCTCGACATGGCCCATGCCACTCAGCCAGGGGGAGGGGAGACTTGAGTCTCTGCGATCGATCGCTGGATCCCTGCTCAGCGGGGCTGAACGTGGGAGAAGAACGCCCTTCACTTACATCAATCCCCTCTCCCTGAAGGTCCTTGAGCACCTGGCCACAGATGAGCTTCAGCTTCACTGAGGACTGGAAAGGAGAGAGCAAGAAAATAAAACCCCACTGCAGTGCTGGGCCCGGCGGGCACTGCCTGGCAGGAGTCTGAGCTCCCCTCAAAACACACGCTCTCTGCCACATCAGGGGGACCCATTTCAACCTTGCCCTGCCCCAGCCAAACAGCCACTGGTTTGGGTTGTTTAAAAACTCACTTCTCTGCCACTTTGGGGAACATCATGGTTTGGATTCCACAAAGAGACTCCCTGAGTTTTGGATGCAACGGTCAGGCTAAAAGCCCCAGCCAACTCTTGTGCTCCACTGAGTGTATTGCTCAAGCCCTCAATCAAAGCCTGTTCTACGTACTTCCCGAGCCTCTCCCCGCTCTCTTAGGGAAGCCCAGTCAGCCAGAGACAGGCACAGAGTTCACGCCGGTCGCTCAGGGACCTGAGCTCTCCCCCTTCACCAGATACCCCGAGTCCCAGAGCTCAGATCGGGATGCTCACACAGATATTCCCATTGCTCCCCCAGGCCGTCGATACCCCTCTCGATGGCCAAGGCTTCGTGCTGATTGTCTGATTTCACAGCACCTGATACCATCTTGGGGTGGGGGGGGGGAGAGAGCAAAAATTGCTCAGACCCCAGGGTGCCGGGCACCGGGTAAGATCCAGAAGAAAACAGAGAAAGAGAAAGCTTCCACTTAACTATTTTGGCCAAGGTGCTGATTTCAGCCAGGACCCAGTCAGGACAGTCCAAGTCTCCGCAGAACCGGAACCTCTGGAAGGAGAAGATCGGGGGCAGTTAGGAACCAGGCGGCCTTTGGGCCAGGGGACGTCAGCAGCAGAGTGTCCTTTGCAGGGCAGCCCGGCTCTTCTTGCCAGAGCAAGGGAACCCTCATTTCCCACCGTTATTGCTGCCCTGCCCCCACTGCACCAGAAGAGCCGTCCCTAGATTTCTCTCCTCTCTGGGTACTTGGCTGCCCTCATCTCCGGCCTCTGCTCTGGCTGAGCCTGCTGCAGAGTCGGACGGCCGCTGGGTTGATCCGGAGCTGTACAAATAACTCTCCTCCTCAGGCCCTGGGTCCCCACTGTACAACGCCCCTGCGAACTCAGGCACAGCAGCTCCGTGCACGGAGGTCATCAGCCTTTGGAGCAAGCTTCTGGGGAGAACGACTGGACACAGCTGTCCAAGCTCAGCCCTGGCACGAGGGGATGCAAGTGCCCTGAATTCAATGGGCTTCCCCCCGGGGCTGAACTGGGCCCAGAGTCTGAGAGAGAGACACTCATCCCCGGAGAAGGAAAGAGATGGACGGGGCTGGGGTATGCCCAGAGGGATCAGTCTGATGAAGAGGTGGGGTGAAGGTGGGGCAGGGCAGATGCCCCCTTCCTGTTCATAATAGCTACCAGTTAAGCTGCGGCTTCAGCAGTTTAACCCAGCAAACACTGGTACAGACCATGAGCCTGCATCCAGGAGCAGCTGTTTTATACCCGCTGCAGTTACACAGCGAGAGCAAGGGGACACGTCTCTGGCGTCTCATGTATGCAGGTCCACAGGCTACAGAACCAGGCATAAGCTAGGGTTACCATTCGTCCGGATTCCCCTGGACATGTCCAGCTTTTTAAGCTAAAAATAGCGTCCGGGGGGAATTTGTAAATGTCCGGACTTCCCCCCCATGCAGAGCACTCGCGGCTAACAGTGCAGCCGGCCGGATGGTGCCACTTACATGGGGCTCCGACAGCCAGAGAGAGCTCCTCCTCCTCCCCCCTGCAGCAGAGATCACTCCCTCCCTCCCTCCCTGCATTCACAGATCGGCTCCAGCAGTCTGGAGCTCCTCCCCCACTGCTGCCCAGCCTGCCGGACGAGCGGCTCAGGCAGTTCCTGAGCAAGTTCACCGAGACATTAGGCGAAGAAAGGCCAACAACAAGGGGGCCAGGGGGTCGGAGAAGGGGCAGGGAGGTTTTGGAGGAGGCAGTCAAGAGACGGGTGGTGGTGGGGGGTCGGGAGTTCGAGGGGGGGGGTCTTTCGTGGGGGTGTGGAGTAAGGTTTTGGGCAGTCA